TGGTAGACTGGACATTGCAATCAAGTTAATTAGTCTCCTGCCTTGACGATACACTCGGTCTTTTATAGCAAACTATTTACAATGATATAACGGTTAAACGATTTGTAATAATGCCTTACTTTAAAATCGGAGTTGCTGTACTATAGAAAGAGAACATATCTTATAGATGAAAGTGTAAAGGTGTATTGTTTGTATTAATCGTTTACCAGTAATTTTATTTACTTAACTTACATTTTTATAATAGCATGAAGTCAAAAATGTCCATACCGTGTAATTAGAACGTATTCACGGTCCTGAAAGAGAATATTTAAGCCTAATCTAGTAAAAGATTTTAACATTAGTTAAATTCTATATCATTCTTCTATAATTAAATTAAATTTATAGGTTAGGATGGTCTAAATTTTTATTTTTACAAACTGACTACAAACTAACAATATGTGAAATTCAGTCACGTGAGCTGTCCAAGTTGTTCCATTCTTTTAACTAAAATATTTTAAATGTGCACAAATTAACATTTGATATTGTAGGCATATTAGGTAATAAGTTTGTAACAGTTGTCATTACGGATATTTCTTTTGATAGAAAATTCCAGCACATCCGGTTCCAGACAGACACACTGGGTGCGATGATGGCCAGAATAACACCCGAAAGCGAGAAACAGTTGATTCAAGTCTCGATTTAACCTGGATTCTGGTTCAGTTCAGGTGTCCGTCCATGAGTTATTACGCCTTGGGGTGTCAAAAGGGAACAACAGATATTTGGTGCGAAGCGTGCGAGCGTTCGTTAGTCAAGACAATCAGTCTTATTATCAGTGATCTAGGTGCACTGTTATACCAGTTTCGTGATTATACATATTCAAACTACTTGTTTCTATGTTCATCATACGGCATTATTGAATTGTTTTACAATTTTCTACACTGTTATGTTCTAAAGAATAAAAAAGTGAACGTGAATTTTGAAATTAACTATTTATTTATTATTTTTCATAGCCGTAAAGATATTAAACGTTGAAATACGTAGACTTATATACTTATGTTTGTTTCTTTCTTTGTATTGAATATATACTTAACAAATTGTCTGCTGACTGGATGATTTAACCTATGCGACCGGTGCATACAAAAAACAACTAACACACCTGTACCTTCTGATCGTGGTCTGCAATATTTGTTTTTCACTCAGTACATATTTTGAAAAAAATCTAATGTTTTTGTCAAGATTGAAGTAATTCAGCATGATAATGATTAAAACCGTGTATGACACGCTCCTTGGTGTTGTCATTACGTTGCTCAGCAACGATAATAGTCGCAATTAGCGAGAAATCTCTTATTTATTAATCTATCGATGTTGCTTTCTTTTCCAAACCCCAATGTATGGACCTATTAGATGTTTCCTAATCATAAGCGGTTAGTTGCTAATGTGAAGCAAAAATTGTCAGATTTATTTCGAAATGAGTGGCATTGTACAGAATCGAGTAAATGTAAAAAGTATAAATTATTTGAAGAAAAATATTTCATTTCGAACACTTTTTAACAAATATACCAAAACACTTACTAAGATATGTAACAACAAACAGCAGGCTTCCTGTTGAAACCGGAAATTGGAATGGTAAAGATTTAAATTTACGTAAATGTTCACTTTGTAACAGCTCTGGAAGTATTGGAGATGAATTCCATTATCTCTTTGAATGCAATGAATTAACTGTACTTAGAAACAGAATGTTAGATCGTAATTATGTACGACATCCAAATTTTATTATCTTTTAATTCTATTATGAATATGAATCTAACTCATTGTAATGAATACAGTAATTTTTGTTTACTTATTAAGGAAATAATAAAAAAACTTGATAATAGATTTCTACATATTTGTTCTTCATGTCCTTGAAAATGCGTGTCCTTCTCCATTTTGTTAAGATGAATTGTATTTATATTATTATTTTCATGTGTCTGCTTTGCCTCTTTATGTAATGTAGGCTTATATGCTATAGCTCATATTGTTATGTGTGTACATGAATTAAGTTCTGGAATAAACTTTGAAACTTTGAAACTAACTTTTTACAGTTAGATCAAAGTAATTGAGTTGCTTTAAGATAAATAAAATTGCCACTTTAAAATTCTTTAATTTATAAACGTCAACTAATGTATTCGACGTCATTTGTGAATGAAGTGTTCAAATATATGACGTTCTTTAAATAGGTATATATCAACAAATAACCATTTGATTAAAAATAGTTTTCACTATGTTATTCAGAAAGAAAATCTCAACAAAAATGAGATAAAAACCAAATTTCGAAAAAAATGTTATTAAGACCGTTTTTTTTCGCGTCGTGCGTCATATGTATTGTTATATATATATACTAGTATACTAGTTCATTTGATTACTTTTGATTCACATAGAGGATATAATTTCGAATATTAAGGTAGACCATGGGTAATGGGCACCATAAGGAACTGCAAAATGACAACATAGGACAGTTATATGTCTTCAAGGTCACCTGTATGCAAAATTTAAATAAAATTTACCCTGTGGTTTATGAGTTATGGATATATTTCTGAACTAAGACTTTGCCATTAGACGGGCTTATTTTCAGAAATGAGGAAACTGTAAATAATCTGTAATATCAACATTATAAAAAATGTTTTTCTATTGCTCATTGTTAAGAAACAAACAATAACATTCAGGTAACACATTACACAAGCAAAATGTTTGTTTCTAAACAAAATGTTCTTAATATGTATAAAAATGTTACCCTACCCAATTCCACTTTTAACACTAATTTTACCATTTCCCTATCTAAAATGCCTTATTCAAAATATCCCTAAAATTTATCGAAATAAGGGTCTGTTTTCAAAGTTTGCCTAAATTTTCTCAAATGTATATTAGTTGATCATGCAAAATATAAAATACCTTTGACGTGTAGTTTTTATTTTATCGAACTTTGAAAATATCTGGTATCACATCACATTTGCTATAAATTTTAGCATTATTTAGCAAAAAAAAAAAAAAAACAAAAAAAAAAAAACAACCTAAAATAATTACATAATTTAAATCAAACTTTTTTTCTTCCATAAGGGATCAGAGAGATACATAAATAATGTTAAAAAGAAAAAAAGAAAGAAAAAAAGTTGCCCCTTCTGGGGTTTGAATCCACGCCCCTCAATTTCAATGAAGTTTACAGGCAATTCTAGCCTATTTGAATACTCTTCAAAGTGGAGGTAATGCATTACCCATGGTCTACCTTAAAGCATTTCAGATATACGTATATTCCTAAGATTTCTAAGAGTATTAGTTTCCTCAATTTACAAGGTGCGAATTGGTACTCCAATAAAGTAGTTCAATCGTTTTCATTTTATCAATTAATTTCACAAATTCGTAGACTTCTATACTACCACACGTGACATAGTTTTTATTTAAAAAAGGGATAATATGCAGCCTAGCTATAGATCTTTCAATTTCTATATTTATTTTTGTAATTTATGCATAGACACATGTAAAAGGGAAAACGTCTGAAAAATCCTTGAACATTTAGGCTTTCTTGATTTGGTTGAGGTGTAGTTTTCTTTACACCTAAAATATACTTTTTCAAAATTTTAAATGCACTTTTTTAATCGATAAACCATTGACTAAACAGCATACCTTAGACCAATTATTCAATTTTCAAATTCAAGCTTATCAAACAAATCTAAGTTATGGCTGGGGTTATTTAAGTAAACTTACTTAAGAATATAATTTATCTAATATAATTAGAGCTTTTTGGCTTGACCAGACAATGTGTTATGTGCTATGCTAATGGCTCCTGCTTATCCACAATCTTTTTTGTTGTTTTACAGCGAGATTTATTTCATGAAAGGATGTTTGTATATTTAATCCATAAACATAATTTTGAATTCATTTCTTATCTATAAACTTTAAAACATATTCATCGGGTACACCAAATATATCATGTGGTTTATTGACATCCAATAAATGTCTTCGAACGATGCTATAGATAAGTTAAATTTTTTGATACTTAGAACATGTGCATGTATATACCAATATGACCTAACGATATCATGTCTGATCCCAAATTTACTTGTCCTTTTTTTCTTTATCACAATTTCTATATATAGAATGATTCCGTAATATCTGTTTAATTCATTTTACACCTTGCTTTTGCTATACAATTTAAGAATTAATCTACATCTTGTTCTTTAAGATTACATTGAAAAAAAAAATTCCAACTCTAGACCTTAACTCGTTCATATAGATAAACTTCCAGTCGCCGTAATATTCCTCATTTATTATCGTTTTTTACCCGTGATGCTTAAATTTGACATATGGATACGTAAAAGGAACGGCAGGACAATATAGAATTTGGTCCTTTTAACTTTGAAAAAAGGTAATGTTCAGTATCCTTTCATTATCTCCCCAACAGTTGTACATATTCGTATTTATATGTAAAATGCAGGGGGGGGGGGGTACACTTAATGAATTAGGTATTTTGGTACTTTTCAAATTTAAGATATTGATTTGTCATACACTGGTCAAGTTCGAATTTGGTGATGGTTTGATAATAGCTAACCGAGTTATCCCTCTTGAAAAAAATCAGAAATTTTAAGTTTCCGCTAATTATCTCCCCAATGCTTGTACACATTCAATTTAAATTTGATAAACAGATACTTTTTAGGAATAAGCAGTTCAAGTTTTAAATTTGGTCGTGGTTCAATGATTTTTGACAAAGTTATCTCTCTTGAATGTTTGAAAATTTTTGAATTTTCAGTTTCAGCACAAATACTTTTGTGGAAATGTATGTATTAATTATTTTGGCTACACATATACAATTAGCAATTTACTAAAGGTTAACACTGAATAGTTTCAGTGCCTTGAACTTTGTATAAAAATGTTTGTGTTAACATTGAATAGTTTTAAGGGCTTTGAACTTTAAATGAAAAAAATGTTTATGAAAACAAATTTGGAACTTAATATAACAACATCTGAAATTTTAGCTGCATGTGGGGGCATCCGTGGCGTGACGACACATTTCTAGTCTTTTCATTGCCAGCTGTTCCTATGTCTCAAATATAATTGTAGGCCTTGGTCTGATTCAAGAGCATCAAATCAAATGAAATGGAAGATGAAACAGAAATTGATGCAACAGCAATTTCCGCCAGGAATTGCGTTCAAACGGTTTCACACGACGACACTGATGAAGCAGTAAATAATAACCAACAGACGGAAGTCAAGGTACCCATAGGGGAACCTAACCAACAGACGGAAGTCAAGATACCCGAAATGGAACACGTACAGAGGACATCTCGGATCCTTAAACGCATTCCAGATCCTCCTAGTGACTGGAAGTTAAACCATTTATTAGACGATATTGCAATGCAGACAACCACTGATCAATTAGAGAGGTATAAAGGTCTTTTCAGAGGTAAGTGATAATCAACAGATTGTTCTAACACAGTAGTTTGTTTTGAGTGATTTCGTTAGCAAATTATCATCAAAATCTCTGAAGCTCTTACATCTTATATGCATTGACTTGAATTTTCCATAGATATTAAATTTACATTAACACACAAGCGATCAAAAATCAATGATAGATATAGTGAGAAATATACATAGACAATATTGCATCAAGTGCATTCGTATAAGACGTTGCATCACTCGATCTTAGGGTGTAAAATTGTATTTTCGTAAGTCCGCAATTATATCGATTTTGTGACATGTTTGACATATCTAAAAATAAGAAAACTTGTTTCCTTTCACGTTCAGCAGGTTTAGGAAACACAGATATACACATACACATAGTTCTTCAACGGGTTTGACAAGTAATAAAGCTTGTCCATGAATACAATGTATTGAAAAAGAAGACAGATTTTCTTATTTCATGAATCGAAAATGACTGTAGTATCAACAGAAAATCGATAATCATTATTTTATGAAAGAAATATTTAAAAGATGTTTTTTGTACTTCCTTTATTTTATTAATTATCTAAACGTTTCTGCAGAAATATGAATTAATATGAATTAAATACATGAGGTTTTGACGGTATAAAAGGGAGGATATAACCGCCAGATATCGTTACAAAATTATGAAATTAAAAAAATGTTAATTAGAAACAAACAATGAATAATCTCATGTTTCATATAACGAAAAGAAATAAAAAAAATCTGTTCAGTCCAAAATTTTAACGTGCAATTACGTGCTTACAATTCCTCCGTACTCCGCAGAATTAAATGATTTAGGTATCGAGATCTATACTAGCATTTAACTTGCATTGTTAGCGTAAATCATAGTGAATTACGGAAACTTACGAACAACCTCCCAAAAATTATTAAGTATCAGGTAATTATTGCCAAACAATACATAACTGAATTCGGTCGTATAAATAATGTGTAAATTTATTGATTTTTCAGGACATGGCCCAGGTTCTATTGCAAAAGGCACATTAAAAAAGTGCACATCATGTTATCATTTTTTTCAAATCTTAAGAGAGAGAGAATATATATCCAGGGACAATCTTCTATATCTGCAAAAAATTTTATACATGAAAGGCAACAGGGAACTCATTGAAAGGGCGATTGAGTATAATAGATCTGAGGGAAATCTTTACTTTTATGAAGCAGAAGACCAACCAGGTATTGTTAAATGGGTTTATTTTGCGACGTGGAAGTATTTGCATTTTTTTGGGAAATTGAAATTTTCGAAATATTTGATCTCGCAGAAATAACTTCGTTTTAGGCAAACTTTCTTTTATCATTTGATAAATAAATTTGACTTTTCTGGTAATGAAATAAATTGTTAATCGCTTGTTCGTTGAAGTGTGGTATCAACAAATCAGAAATGTTTTATTGTTAAGAACACGCTTCATTAATGATATTATAAAACAGTATTAAATTCAAAAAATCAAATAAAAGCAAATATTCCCGCACGCAAAATGTCCACGTTTTTGGCATTCGCAAAATTTTTGTGCGCATATATATTCCCATATACAGTATTTCAGTAAGATGTGCAAGTCTAAGGCATTAAAAGATACGTATTATCTTAAACTTAACTTTTAATTTCTATTAAAATAAACGAAGACAGACATAACTTTGTTTTCATTTTTCTTTTGCAGAATCTGGGTACAGAAGAGTACGATTTCATCTGGCAGGGAAAGACCTTAATGAATGGGAACCAGCTCAACAGCAGGCTCTCAGAGATAAAGTTGCAGGCATTTTGTGTATTCCACATTATCAAATTAGAATCGTTGGTGTGATACCTGCATCAAGTTTATGCATCACACTTTTTATCCCCGAAACATACGTTGTTATTTTTCAAGACATGCTTGAAAGGAAGGCACAGTTCAAACAACTCTTTGACATAGGCGTTGATATTATTTATATTGACAAAAGAGTTTACAACATTTCAGGTATACTTCTTTTATTATAAATGATTTGCATGTATTATTTCTACTTTTCAATAAAAAAAAAAGATTCTCATTTGTATAATAGAATTGGATAGTAACTGAATCATACTAATGAATCATTGTTAAAAATTCTCCCAACCCCTGACACTATTTAAAAGCTTTTGAACATGTTAATTTGATAGTTAACATGGTGGACTACTCATCACATCAGTTTTTGTTTTAGCTTTTGCTTATCACTCTTCCATCCAATTTTTAATATTGACATGACCATGGCCTCTTTCACATAATTCATTTTTTGATAACTTTTTGTTTTGGTTCAAGGTATCGAAGAAAAAAATGAAACAGACCAACAAAAAAAGATAATGCATATTTACGACCAATATCATGAACAAAGAAAACAGTTAGAGAAAGGAGAATTACGACTTTTGGATTTGGAGAACAAACTTCTTAAAACAGAAAAAACATTAATTGCTGAAAGACAAAAACGTATCGAAAAAGAATCTAAATTGATGGAATTGGAAATTGTTCTTAACACATATACAACAGTACAAAGAGATTCTTTTCAAGAGGATGATGCCATTTTAAACAAGGAGATCTCTGCAATAAATATTCAAGATACTCTAAGAAAGCCCGTGAAATGTTCACTGGGAGAAAATATTATTTTGGTAAAAAATCAAGGCAAACACGCGGGGGATATTGAAATAAAGAAACTCAATGTTGCCTTACATGAGCAAAAGGAATTGGTGTCGGGCCTTAGAATGCAACTTGATGTTCACCGGTATCTCTCATACAGAAATGCCTCAGAGGTTAATCTTCTGCAAACTGTACGAATATGCTTGAAAGGTAAGTTGGGCTGGTGAAAGCCACTTTCATTAAAAGTTTTGTATTGCATGTCGACTAGTACATGCGCTGATGCAATGTCTATTTTTAAATAAATACGTGTTGCTTTATTTTATAATACTAATAATTTGTGTATCTATGAACCTGTCAATAAATATTTAGTGTAAACACAATAATTTTACATACATAAAGCATTATGATATTTATTTTACAGAGTTGTCACCAGAACAATTTGAGAAATTTGTCGATATTATCAAAACGCTGAGCATCGATCTTATAGACGAAGAGAGAACTGCAATACAATCAAAATATAAGTCAGATGAAGAAAAAGAAATAACAAAGCACATGCAACAATCGCAAAACCTGTTCTTGATTGGAATCATATGTATGGAATACAACAGAACCACTTCCGGAGTAGACATAGGTTTTGCTATATAATTTTTCTTTATCCGTAAACTATTTTAACATGCACATGTAGCTTGTAAATCATGCAGATAATTAAAAAAAGTAGTCTTATATTTTGAAAACATTTGAAAAAGTCTATGAGTACACAAACAAACAAACAAACAAAAACACAAAAAACACACACACAAAATCAAACAAACAAGAAAACCATTAAAGCCCAGGTTTCAATGACCCAAGAAACATGTATATTTATTATCAAAAGAAAAAATAATAATATTAATTATTATTATTATTATTATTATTATTATTATTATTATTATTATTATTGTTATAACAGTAATTGTCTATAAAAAGTTGATACAAAAATTAACGATACTCGTACTATTGATAAAGTAAAATACAGTTATGTCTTTAGCACGGTCAAAAAACTTTACCTTCGATTTTTTTTCCAGAAAACTTTATCACAAGCCTCCTAAAAAAGGTAGGGCGGAATGATCTTGTAAAGAAATTTGAAGAAAAAATAAATGAAGTAAAACACATACCAAAGATCGAACTCTTTCCATATTTACGAAGATCAACCGGAGTCAAAAAGGGATTCTTTTTTTGAAGGAAATGCGTCAGTGCTATTCTAAAAATACTGGTGACCTAATTCCACAGGGACATGTAGCAGTATCTACTCGAAACAGCTTTGCTATGATTATCAAGCCTTTCCGATGTCTTGTTTTAGTTTAGTTTTAACATATTTCATTTCTCTCACATGTTGCAATTCACAATGTACAGAAAGAAGCAATTCAAATATTTATAAAACAAAAACAGGATTATAATATTATGATAAAAAAACAATGTGTCTTGTGAAATTCTTCTCCTAAGTGAGAAATTCACATAAAATAGGCGCTTTAATCATTACATATTTTACAATCTGAATATAATATAAAAGAACAAAAATCAAGACTTTATATTAGAAAAAAAGAAAACACAAAATTTGATATGTTAGTAAATGCTTCTAGAAACAAAGTATATGTTCCATTGAATGAATTTGATTGAAAATGATTATATTATTTATTGGATCTTTTTGTCTCTTGGATGTAGGTGTGTACGTGTGAAAAATTATGTCATTAGTTTGGTTTGTGAGGTCTGGGTTGCCTAAAAGTAGAACATTTAAATCAATGTCAACATTATTTAAGATTCGAAGTCTCTTTTGTCGAGCTGTGTCGAATTGTTTACACCCGAAGAAGAAATGAAACTTATTTTCTATTTGGCCGAAAAGACATAAAGGCAATTCAGTCATGTTTTTTTTCAAAAACAAAATGTAGTTTAGAGAACTAATTTTGTTCGAAGTCTTGTATGAAAAATTTGAAGTTTTCTCTCATCAGAAAAAATAATAGTTAGGTGCACGTGTGTGTTGTTAGTTTTCTTAAAATTTGTTTGAATGATGTGAGAGTTAGAAGGTTGCGGACATCGTATGGAAGTTTATTCCATTCATTTATTGCAGTTTCTGTCAGTATCAAAGCAATTGTTGTGTAAATGCTGGAATTTGTATTTGATATATTGTTTAAGGCATTAAAGTAAAATCTCCTGTTATGATTATATCTGTTATATTGGTATCTACAGCAAGAGCAATTGAGTCTTCAATATGATCGTTGAAAATTATATCCGAGTTGGGTGCTCGCTAAAAACCTTCAAAAAGGATATGTTTGTTGTTTTAAGAATAAGTTCAATCCAGATATTTTCAAGAAAGTTAAGTTCAAGATCACGTCCTCTGGTGTAATGTAAGTTATTTTGATATATACTATAACTCCTCCATAACTATTTTGTACACGATCTTGTAAGATCAAGATGATGTAAGAGCAAGATCTTCGGTAGGTATATTCGAACAAAGCCAAGTTTTAAAGAAAGTCAGTATATCAAATTCATGAAGTTCTGAATAAATTAAGTCAAATTTATTATGAATGCTTTGGACGTTTAAATGGACGAATGAAAGGTGATGCTGAATATTATTAAAATCGGACTGAAATTGGTATGAGCATGTTGAAATCAATGATTCAGGGCCAGGGATATTATGGACATCACAGGCTATCAAAATAAGTAAGTATAGCCACACACAAAGGACAGTTATAGTTAATGTTTCTATAAATGCGTATGTACATCTCATTTTTAATTCAATACTGTTTGTAACTTGCATTTTCTTACATCATACTTATAGTAATAAAAACACAAAACGTCCTTATATGTGAAGTTTTATTTTTTTAGTTTATATATATTTTTTTCTTTTAAACAATATATATATATATGATGAGAATATATACACACATACCACCACATCGATATGCCAGTCCAATTACGGCACAGCGCCTAGCAGTACAGTCATGAAAGCATAGCCACTGCTCATCCACCATCACAAAAATGATGGTTTCAGAACAGCTTTATATACAGTCACAAACTGCACTACACATTGAAACAAGCTCAACATTCACATATATAGAGTTTGTTCTCTGTTATCATATCTCACAAATCAACGATGACATTTTTATTGTCTTCTTCACTGATTGGGACCAGAGAACTATATATCTATTTCCGAAAGTCAACTGGATCACGTAAGATCAAGTAGATCCGTAGGATACAATGAATTTAGACAGATAAAGTATATATAAAGGGAGATAATTAAATTCAATACAGTTATACTTTCCCCTGCGTGGGATCACTTAAGATACAAGTGTGCAGATAAATTGATAGAAATGAGAGAATATATACACACATACCACCACATCGATATGCCAGTCCAATTACGGCACAGCGCCTAGCAGTACAGTCATGAAAGCATAGCCACTGCTCATCCACCATCACAAAAATGATGGTTTCAGAACAGCTTTATATACAGTCACAAACTGCACTACACATTGAAACAAGCTCAACATTCACATATATAGAGTTTGTTCTCTGTTATCATATCTCACAAATCAACGATGACATTTTTATTGTCTTCTTCACTGATTGGGACCAGAGAACTATATATCTATTTCCGAAAGTCAACTGGATCACGTAAGATCAAGTAGATCCGTAGGATACAATGAATTTAGACAGATAAAGTATATATAAAGGGAGATAATTAAATTCAATACAGTTATACTTTCCCCTGCGTGGGATCACTTAAGATACAAGTGTGCAGATAAATTGATAGAAATGAGAGAATATATACACACATACCACCACATCGATATGCCAGTCCAATTACGGCACAGCGCCTAGCAGAACAGTCATTAAAGCATAGCCACTGCTCATCCACCATCACAAAAATGATGGTTTCAGAACAGCCTTATATACAGTCACAAACTGCACTACACATTGAAACAAGCTCAACATTCTCATATATAGAGTTTGTTCTCTGTTAACATATCTCACAAATCAACGATGACATTTTTATTGTCTTCTTCACTGATTGGGACCAGAGAACTATATATCTATTTCCGAAAGTCAACTGGATCACGTAAGATCAAGTAGATCCGTAGGATACAATGAATTTAGACAGATAAAGTATATATAAAGGGAGATAATTAAATTCAATACAGTTATACTTTCCCCTGCGTGGGATCACTTAAGATACAAGTGTGCAGATAAATTGATAGAAATGAGAGAATATATACACACATACCACCACATCGATATGCCAGTCCAATTACGGCACAGCGCCTAGCAGAACAGTCATGAAAGCATAGCCACTGCTCATCCACCATCACAAAAAATGATGGTTTCAGAACAGCTTTATATACAGTCACAAACTGCACTACACATTGAAACAAGCTCAACATTCGCATATATATAGAGTTTGTTCTCTGTTATCATATCTCACAAATCAACGATGACAGTTTTATTGTCTTCTTCACTGATTGGGACCAGAGAACTATATATCTATTTCCGAAAGTCAACTGGATCACGTAAGATCAAGTAGATCCGTAGGATACAATGAATTTAGACAGATAAAGTATATATAAAGGGAGATAATTAAATTCAATACAGTTATACTTTCCCCTGCGTGGGATCACTTAAGATACAAGTGTGCAGATAAATTGATAGAAATGAGAGAATATATACACACATACCACCACATCGATATGCCAGTCCAATTACGGCACAGCGCCTAGCAGAACAGTCATGAAAGCATAGCCACTGCTCATCCACCATCACAAAAATGATGGTTTCAGAACAGCTTTATATACAGTCACAAACTGCACTACACATTGAAACAAGCTCAACATTCACATATATAGAGTTTGTTCTCTGTTATCATATCTCACAAATCAACGATGACATTTTTATTGTCTTCTTCACTGATTGGGACCAGAGAACTATATATCTATTTCCGAAAGTCAACTGGATCACGTAAGATCAAGTAGATCCGTAGGATACAATGAATTTAGACAGATAAAGTATATATAAAGGGAGATAATTAAATTCAATACAGTTATACTTTCCCCTGCGTGGGATCACTTAAGATACAAGTGTGCAGATAAATTGATAGAAATGAGAGAATATATACACACACATACCACCACATCGATATGCCAGTCCAATCAGGGCACAGCGCCTAGCAGTACAGTCATGAAAGCATAGCCACTGCTCATCCACCATCACAAAAATGATGGTTTCAGAACAGCTTTATATACAGTCACAAACTGCACTACACATTGAAACAAGCTCAACATTCTCATATATAGAGTTTGTTCTCTGTTAACATATCTCACAAATCAACGATGACATTTTATTGTCTTCTTCACTGATTGGGACCAGAGAACTATATATCTATTTCCGAAAGTCAACTGGATCACGTAAGATCAAGTAGATCCGTAGGATACAATGAATTTAGACAGATAAAGTATATATAAAGGGAGATAATTAAATTCAATACAGTTATACTTTCCCCTGCGTGGGATCACTTAAGATACAAGTGTGCAGATAAATTGATAGAAATGAGAGAATATATACACACATACCACCACATCGATATGCCAGTCCAATTACGGCACAGCGCCTAGCAGAACAGTCATGAAAGCATAGCCACTGCTCATCCACCATCACAAAAATGATGGTTTCAGAACAGCTTTATATACAGTCACAAACTGCACTACACATTGAAACAAGCTCAACATTCACATATATAGAGTTTGTTCTCTGTTATCATATCTCACAAATCAACGATGACATTTTTATTGTCTTCTTCACTGATTGGGACCAGAGAACTATATATCTATTTCCGAAAGTCAACTGGATCACGTAAGATCAAGTAGATCCGTAGGATACAATGAATTTAGACAGATAAAGTATATATAAAGGGAGATAATTAAATTCAATACAGTTATACTTTCCCCTGCGTGGGATCACTTAAGATACAAGTGTGCAGATAAATTGATAGAAATGAGAGAATATATACACACATACCACCACATCGATATGCCAGTCCAATTACGGCACAGCGCCTAGCAGAACAGTCATGAAAGCATAGCCACTGCTCATCCACCATCACAAAAATGATGGTTTCAGAACAGCTTTATATACAGTCACAAACTGCACTACACATTGAAACAAGCTCAACATTCTCATATATAGAGTTTG